AAGCGATTGTGGTTGAATTTTACCTTAAATTGAAGCTTATATTACGTATAGTAACATACCTAACATATATATGTTTCGGGAAAATTGATAATTTTGTAATTAAAAGTGATATTTTTAGGGGATTTTTCATTTGTAAAAATATTCTTAAAAAATTATCGTGTTTCCATGACAACTACTTTAAATACTTCTCGTTCGGAAAATACAATGGTTTTGTCAGCAAGGGGAGAGTTTCTGCATGCATGTATTTACTAGTATACAACTGACCTATGTTAATTGAATTTATATTTTAATTTTATACACTATAATATATTATGACATTGAATATTTCTGAAATTTCTCGATATTTTTATCGGGATATTTTACAATTACATTTTGTGGTTTCTCTATTATTCAAAGCAAAGTGTTCTACTGTTCAGGGGAGATACTTGATAAAATCATTTTCAATAAAAAAAAATATGGCAGATTATTTACGATCCGCTCTACAGTTTCAGATTCCAGTTTCAGATTCAAATTCAGATTCATATTCAGATTTGAATCTGAAACGGGGCCAATTGTCGCGTATAAAATGTGGAATTGCTCTGTCTCTTTTCACGGAATAAACGTAATTCGTCAAGGACATCCATCTTCAGACAATTGTGCATTTGACAAAACTATATTTTAGTTTTTAGCTCATAATGTGAAGCCAGGAAAAATCGCAGAAACTACACGACCAACGCGTGATTTCTTACTGCGCCATGTTTGTCTTAAGCTGTCGGCAAAATTATTTTTCGCTGTGTATCGCAAAATACGCGTGTATTTCCCTAATTTCTGAAAGACATTCATTAGTACACTATGGTAAATGGTATAAAGAAAACTAGGTCTTAAAAACGTTAGTTGTTTTGTCAGGAAAAATCGCAAATCGTAGATCATGAGACACGGCTTTTGTAACCTGAAGCGAATGTCGACAACGCAGCTGAGAGAATAAACACTTCTCACGCGTCGCACGCTTAGTTTGGAATATTCGTCTGCGAAAGACATTCATCTACAACTATCACAAAATGATACAACGCACTTGTTATTTTCAAACAGCTTGTTGTTTTGGCAGGAAAAATCGCAAAACACAACCGCTGTTGCATGGAATCGAAAATCCGGGCCGGCATTAAGACTTTCATCACAGTTCGTTTAGTCTCATATAAGCGAAGTTTCGTTCGCCTACGTAGTGAATCTTCACCAGTTGACTGTAAGTTATGGTCAAGTTTAATATACTTTAAAATTAGGCAAATATTTCTCGCGGAAAAAGGGCTTGGAATCGTTCTTTGGAAGAACGATAGGATATCAACCCCCCGGATTTTAATGTTTCAGATTCAAATTTCATAATAACAATCTCAGTGCGTATAATATAACAATCTTTTGCGATTTTTCCTGCGCATATGCGTTGCCGAATCGCAATAAGAACCAGACAGAATGAAGCGCACAATAATGTAGATGAATGTCCTTCTTTGCGGTATCTGCTGGTTTAATACAGTTGCTGTGGTTGAAGGACTTACGCAGACTAACGCTGTTTCAGCTCGAATCTGAAACTGAATCTGAATCTACATGAAATTTGAATCTTAACGAAAAATATCCGGGGGCGCCTGACATCCTATCGTCCTTCCATAACACGATTCCAAACCCTTTTCTGCGAAAAGTACAGGGCCGTTTTTGAGCATATCAACATTTAGTCATAATTCCTAGTCAGCTAGTGAACATTCGTTGTGAAGACAAATTATACTTGGTCAGTATATCAGTCTAAACGAACTTTTGGGAAA